GTCCTGCAGCCCTGCCTCATCAGGTGGGAGTGGCCCTCCCGGCTGGCTTCTGTTCCACCCGCCCGTCCCCTGGATGCCATGGAGAATGTCGCCCTGTGACAGGCCACGCCGAGTCTGTCCCCTCGCCAGTCAGTCGGGGGACACCGGGCTGCTCTGCCACGGGGGCTCGTGCGGCTGGTGGGGAGCAGGCCCTGAGCGTCCCCGTGGCCAGGCTCCGGGTGACTCACGGTCTTGATGCCATGGCTGCTGTGCCGTGGGCACCTCCCCTCCCTTCTCTGCTGGACTCCCGTCCTTGCTCCTCCACGCAGCCGGCACAGCAGGGCAGCACGGGGCCCGCAGGGTGGCAGCGGGCAGTTAGGACGGGGGCCTGGCTCCCAGCCCTCAGTTCACCCTGAGGACGCCCAGCTGCCCTCTCTGTCCTTCCCCGGGAGCAGGACCAGGCTGTCCTCACAGGGAGGGACTCTGGGGACAGCGACCAGTGACCCTTCTAATTAAATCTGTCCCTGGAGCTCCCTGGAGCTCCAGCCTGCAATCCCTAGGGGCCTAGAATCCCACCAGACCCTGCTGGGCTCCCGTCCCAGGAAAACCCAAGCCCTGTTAGGGCCTGAGCTGAGCCAGGAGGACTCCCCGGTGACAGCTGGTCCCCATGCTCCGTCCTGGGGAGCAGATCACTCTGTCCAGGGTTGAAAAGATGCTCAGAGGACGCCTCTGCCTCAGCCAGCTGTGAGGGGCCCGCAGACCTAGGGCCGGCCTTCTGGAAGCCACCATCCAGGTGGGGTTGGGGCTGACAGTCACCTGAATCGTGATTTAATAACACTGCCTGTCACGAGGCCACTTGAGAGGCAGGAGATGCAGGTTCAGAGAGGGCCAGGGACTTGTCCAAGACCACACAGCTGCAAAGACTCCAAGCCAAGTCCCAAACCAGCTTATGACTAAATGTAGGCTGTGGAGCCGTGAAAACCAGAGCCCCTGAGCCTCAGGCGGTCCTGAGGCCTTGTGAACTCACCGGGGGCTCACTGCAATGGGGCCACGATCCCCCATTTTACAGGTGGGGAAACTGAGGCACAGAGGGCGTAATGGACCCGTGGAAGCTCCCTGGGCAGGGAGTGTGGCCCCGACTGTCCGGGCTTCAGGGGGTCTGGGAGAGAAAGACGTTCTGCTGCCCGGAGGGCTTGGCAGGGAGCCCCCCGCTGCGTGGCTGCACTTCCCACAGGATGCAGGGCACAGAGCTGGGCCTGGGGGCCCTGAGCCCCAACGCCACCCCCCAGAAGGCCTTCCTGGGCATCTGGGCTGCGGAGAGGGCGGAGGACGAGTTCTCAGGTTGGGGGGGGCTGCCTTAGAAAAACAGGCTCCAAGATGGGACAATGAGCTGGGTGCATAATTCATGCGTCTGTCACAGAACATCAGTCCTGGGCCTTCGCGGAGTGACCTGGGGTTAGAAACTGGAGCAGGCTGGAGGAAAACAGGTCCTCCCACGTCTTAAAGGGACACTCCGCTCCCGGAGTCCGCACCTGGCACACAGGCGCCCCCTTCCAGGAGTCAGACGGGAGCAGCTCCGCAGGGCTCAGCCGAAGGCCACTGGCTGCCCACAAGACCCGACCCCCTCTGTGCCAGCCCGTGCCAACAGCCCTACATGCCCCCATGCCACCACCTGTGAGGGGCTGCCCCTGGCACRTCCCAGGGTCCCTCGGCCTCGGTACTATCGGCTTTTCAGGCCGGTGCTTCTGGGCATCGGAGGATATGGCACAGCACCCTGAGCCACCGGCCCTCGTCAGTAGCACCCTGCCCCCAGCTGTGACAACCGAAAATTTCTGCAGAAATTGCTAAGTGTCCCATGAGGGTCAAAATCGTTCCCAGCTGAGAACCACCGGATGCAGCCTTCCGATGCTCCAGGCCACCTAGCCAAGGAGGGCAGAGCTGGGGCCAGCCGCAGGGTCCACTCCCCTGCCCTCTGCTCCCCTGCCCTCCGCTCGGGAGCTCCAGAGTCTGCCACCAGATGTTTATTCCAGGGACCACTCATTCATTTTGATGGGTGTTTAGTGCCTGAATCAATAGCATGAAAAATCAGCCATTTGCATATATTTGCATACTATTAAGGCTAAACTACAGCCTGGAAGGTAGATGGGGGTCTCGTTTAGTTTTGCTCTTCACCTTCACCRTTAGGGAAAGAGTGGTCCGTGGAGCCAAAGGACACACGCAGTGAGGTACCCGACAGGGACGATCTGTTTAGAGGCCGCATCTTCGTAAGGAAAACTATGCACAAAAGCAAAAGGAAAAGAAAGAAACTCCGTGCAGCAATTGCCTCTGGGGTGGAGGGGGACCCCAGGGGGTATCACCGTCACTGCTACCGGCCCCTATCCCCAACTCGGTGGTGGCTTCACGAGTGTCCGTTTGATGACGGCTCAGACGCTCCATGTGAAGCGGGGCTGCTCTTGTATGTAACAAAGATTTCATTTGACAGTGATCACAAATTTTTTTCTTTCAATGGATGCAAATCAGGACACTAGGACTCAAATGCTCGTGGTTTTAGAAACAGAGGACACTTTGGGGGTAACTGCAGCGAGAGTGCAAAAGCRGGGGGAGGCCCGAGGCTGGGGGAGCGGCCCGGCAACGCACCCCACCTTCAGAGCCAGCTGTTCTGCGCAGGCGCAGAGCTCCGCCCGGGCCTCCCTAACGCCAGGCAGAGATGCCCCCTTCCWGGTGGAGGGCTGAAGCCTGGCCCTGGCCTTCCCACTTGGGCCTCCATGGACTGGTGCGATTAACCCCTGTCGGGGGTCACTGCCTGAGCAGGCTCTGGGCGCCGAGGTGAACCTCAGAACCAACTCACGTCCCCAGTGCCCACAGGATCTGGGCAGYAGCAGGGACCTGTGTGGTGAGAATCCCCAGGCCAATGATGCCCGACCCTGAGGACCGAGGGGCCGTCCCTGCCCAGGGAAAGCAGGGGCCACCTCAGAGGGGAGGAGCCCTGGGCTGGGTTCTAAACGACGGGTCGGATGGAATTCGCCAACTGGCAGAATCTACCCACAGAGGTACATGGCAAGGCTTGGGGACCTGTGGCAGGGGAGGCCAGGGAAAGAGGTCAGAGGCAACAGGAAGCCATGCATCCTTCCTGGGGCCAGAGACCTCATGCTCACCCACGCTGGGACAGGTTTACGTACAGGGTACAGCAGGCCACTCAGAGGCCACTCAGAGGGGGGTCAATGCACCGCTCATGCGTGGACACGTCTGTCCACACGGCAGMTCTCTGGGGCATGTATTGTTGTGATCATCCCATTTTGCAGATGAGAAAACTGAGGCTTTTCGAGGTTAAATAGCTTGTCCAAGGTAAGGAAGTGGCAGAGCTGGGGCTTGGGAAGCCACGGTAGGCGGGCACAGTGCCCGTGCTCCTAACTGCTGCCCACCCGGCCTCTTACCATGCTCCCGTGGCCCCACTGCCCCTCCTCGGCCTCTTGCCTTCCTTCTCTGGTGTCTCTGGAAGAAGGTGGGGCTTTCTCCGATTTTTTGTGCCCTCCCTGACCCCTGCAGCTTGGGACACACTTGCTTGGGGCATGGGCTTCTCCTGACCATCCTGTCCAAAGGTCACCCTTCCATCACTCACACCCCTCCCGCATCCCCGAGTACAGATTCTCAGAGACAGGTTGGCTGAGCCCCGGGCACGGGCCGGCTCAGCCTGGATCCTCTGCCACCCTGGGCTGACCAGCGCCAGGCAGGAGGAAACAGCCAAGCCTGGCCACAGGACCCGTCCCTTCAGTTGGACAAGGGAAGGTGACTCTCCAAAAAGAGGGCAGGTGAGCGGCCCAGGAGGCAGGTTCAGGGTCTGGGTCTTCCCAGGAGTCCTGGAGACTCACTCAGCCGAGAAGTAACGTGACTGAATCTGTATTTTTTAAAAAAGACCCAGAGCAGTCCCTCCTACCCACCCACAGCCTGGATTCCATTTCCATTCCCACAAACATCCACTGAGACTCCTCTGGACCCAACACTCTTCTTTGTGTGTGTGTATGTGGGGGGGGGGGGGGGGGGGAACCAGAGATTGATCCCAGGGGCACTCAACCACTGAGCCACATCCCAGTCCTTTTTTATTTTTTATTTTGAGACAGGGTCTCGCTAAGTTGCTGAGGCTGGCTTTGAACTTGCCATCCTCCTGCCTCAGCCTCCTGAGCCACTGGGATTATAGGTGTGTGCCACTATAACAGTCCCCAGCCCTGTTCTTGGTGCAGGGGATACAGTGGCCGTGAAGACAAGGTCCTTAGTCCCAGCAGTTCATAGTCCCACCAAGAGTTAACAATGTGGATCCAGGATGTCTGGCCTCCTTGAAAACCACCTCCCAAATCTCATGTTTGGGCATCTTTCTAGCCAAGGGGTCTTTTGCTTTCGTCTGACCTTTAACCTAGCCTTGAGAGCTCATGCTCTGGGGTCAGACTGACCTGGGTTAAAATTCCGTCTCTGCCACTTGCTAGAGGCCTCTTTCTAGTTTCCCCATCTGGTCAATGGAGTGAATATCATTTAATTGGGTTACTGTACAAATGGGGACAGTATCACGTGGCAAGTGCCCGACACATGCACCCACAAAGGGCAACTCGCAGTAGCATCAGCACCAGGCAGCACAGCTGCACCCACCCAGGAATCCCATAAACCACCTGTCTGGCTCAGGAGCCCGCTCCAGACCACGGCCTGTTTTTAAATAAAGTTTTATTGAAACACGACTGTGTGCATTTGTCTCTGTGCTGTCCCAGCTGCTCTCCTGCCACCCCTGCAGAGTCCAGTGGTGGCCAGAGAGGAGGCAGGGGTGGCCCCTGGTGTGCTGGTCAGCTGAGGTCCTTTCAGATCTCTGGCTCTCCATTTTCACACCCGGAGGGTAAATGGACGTGAGTGAGTCCTCCTTTGGGCTCAAGACTCAATCCTTAAGTGACAAGCGGGAGGTGAAAGCTCGCAGGCCCCGCAGACACCAGGGTCCCCGTGACCTTCGGTCGTGCTAACTGGCTCCTCCCTTCTCCTCGCAGATCCTGGCCATCATCTCCATCATGTTCATCGTCCTCTCCACCATCGCCCTGTCCCTCAACACGCTGCCCGAGCTGCAGAGCCTCGATGAGTTTGGCCAGAGCACGGACAACCCGCAGCTGGCCCACGTGGAGGCCGTGTGCATCGCCTGGTTCACCATGGAGTACCTGCTCCGGTTCCTGTCCTCGCCCAAGAAGTGGAAGTTCTTCAAGGGCCCCCTCAACGCCATCGACCTGCTGGCCATCCTGCCCTACTACGTCACCATCTTCCTCACCGAGTCCAACAAGAGCGTGCTGCAGTTCCAGAACGTGCGCCGCGTGGTCCAGATCTTCCGCATCATGCGCATCCTCCGCATCCTGAAGCTCGCGCGCCATTCCACCGGCCTCCAGTCCCTGGGCTTCACCCTGCGCCGGAGCTACAACGAGCTGGGCCTGCTCATCCTCTTCCTCGCCATGGGCATCATGATCTTCTCCAGCCTCGTCTTCTTTGCCGAGAAGGACGAGGACGACACCAAGTTCAAAAGCATCCCGGCCTCTTTCTGGTGGGCCACCATCACCATGACGACTGTTGGGTACGGAGACATCTATCCCAAGACTCTCCTGGGGAAGATAGTGGGGGGACTCTGCTGCATCGCGGGGGTCCTGGTGATCGCTCTTCCCATCCCCATCATCGTCAACAACTTCTCCGAGTTCTACAAGGAGCAGAAGAGGCAGGAGAAAGCYATCAAGCGAAGGGAGGCTCTGGAGAGGGCCAAGAGGAACGGCAGCATCGTATCCATGAACATGAAGGACGCTTTTGCCAGGAGCATTGAGATGATGGACATYGTGATTGAGAAAAATGGAGATAAGAAGGATAAACTCCAAGACAACCACTTGTCTCCCAACAAGTGGAAATGGACAAAGAGGACACTGTCTGAAACCAGCTCCAGTAAGTCYTTTGAAACCAAGGAGCAGGGATCCCCCGAGAAGGCCAGATCATCTTCCAGTCCTCAGCACCTGAATGTCCAGCAGCTGGAAGACATGTACAATAAGATGGCCAAGACCCAGTCCCAACCCATCCTCACGACCAAGGAGTCTGCCACCCAGAGCAAACCAAAGGAAGAACTCGAAATGGAGAGTATCCCCAGCCCCGTAGCCCCTCTGCCCACCCGCACGGAAGGGGTCATTGACATGCGCAGCATGTCCAGCATCGACAGCTTCATCAGCTGTGCCACAGACTTCCCCGAGGCCACCAGGTTCTCCCACAGTCCTCTGGCTTCACTGCCCACCAAGGCTGGGGGCAGCATGGCTCCAGAGGTGGGCTGGCGGGGAGCCCTGGGGGCCAGCGGGGGCCGGCTGGGGGAGGCCAACTCCACCCCCGACGGCAGCCACTCCTCGAGCTTCCTCATCGAGAGCCCCAAGAGCTCCATGAAGACCAACAATCCCCTGAAGCTCCGAGCACTCAAAGTCAACTTCCTGGAGGGGGACCCCAGCCCCCTGCTCCCCGTTCTGGGGATGTACCCCGACCCTCTTAGGAACAGGGGGGGCGCTGCGGCCGCCGTCGCCGGACTGGAGCGCGCCAGCCTCCTGGACCAGCCCGTGCTGAGCCCGGAGTCCTCCGTCTACACCACGGCAAGTGCTAGGACGCCCCCCAGGTCGCCCGAGAAACCCTCAGCAATAGCATTCAGCTTCGAAGCCGGCGTCCACCAGTACATCGACGCCGACACGGACGACGAGGGTCAGCGGCTCTACAGCGTGGACTCCAGCCCTCCCAGGAGCCTCCACGGGGGCACCAGTCCCAAGCTCAGCCTGGGCCCCAGGGCGGACAAGAACCACCTCGAGAGCTCCCCGGTGCCTACCTCCCCCAAGTTCCTTCCGCAGAACTGCCTTTACCCCGCGGAGGCGCTGACCGGCAGGGGCCCCGGGGCCCAGGAGAAGTGCAGACTCGAGAACCACCTCTCCCCCGACGTCCGGGTGCTGCCCGGGGGAGCGGCCCTGGGGAGCAGCAAGGATCAGAGCATCTGAACTGGCCGCGGAGGCCAGCGCGCAGGTGAGGCCCAGGGAGGGCGGCGGCTGGCTGCCTGCCGCAGAGCTCTCCCGGGTGGACAGAAAGTCTCTGCCAAGCCCCCAGGGACTCCGGAGAAGGTCCCCTAAGACCCGGAGAGCCAGGACAGGCCCGTCAGCATGAAACCGGCCATGCCGGGGGGACAGCGGCTCCCTGTGACAACCCTACTGCCCTCTGAGGGAGATGACAGGCGCTCACAGCCACCACCACCCCATCGCGACCTGACTGAGGCCACCCACTCCCCACTCTTCTCTCGAGGCTGTCCGTCATGGCCTCCGAGGGCAAGTGTCCATCGCCCCGGCTTCCGCGGGAGGAGAAACTAGAACCAGTGGCCGTTGAAAGAGTGGGTTGGCCGATTTGGTATGGGGTGTGGCGGGCCACCTCCAGGCACACCTGCCCGTCGCCTCCTGGATGGATCCGCTGTCGGAAGGCCACTGAGAAAGCCTGTGTCGCCGCAAGTCAAGATCCCCGCGCAGACCTCACTCAAAAGACTTCGCGGACTCCAGGGTCCCGTGGAGCCTGAGGTTTTGCGTTGAGATGTCATCAGGGTGAGTGGCACCATCTGTACTCAATTTCACTTGCCCCCCGCAGTCTGGGAAGGGTTCAGAAGGAGGAACTTCTGAGTTTGGCCTAGGGATCTAGGAGGAAGATGCTTCTGTGCTCGCTAGGGTAGACTGGAAAGATATGCAAGTGTCAAATATGCAAAAGAAGTAGCTACTCCAAGAGACCGTGTGCTACCGAAGAACAGCATCAAATCCAATTTCTTTTTTTTTTTTCTTTTCTTTTTTTTTTTTTTTTTTCAACCTGCAAAAATGCAAGGGAAAGAACGCCCTCATTGAGATGCCTCACCCGGACTCCTGAATGCCTCCTGCTACAGCGGGGAGATCACCTACTATGATAGAGAGTTCTTTTTGTTTCCTGTTATATTCAAGCTAAAAAAAAAAAAATGTTAATAAAAAGCACTTTATGTTTTTCAAAAATAGTTCTACCAGGGACAGTGTCCACCTCTTGCACTTTAAACAAGCACTATTTCCGGGGACCACTTGCTGACCCTGTGGTTGGGTTGTGGCCACATGCCCATTCTGGCCACGGTGGGTACCACTGTCGGCCACACCAGAGTCTGGGGCTCCTTCCCTGCCCCTCTGGAGGCTCCTCCCCGCACCCCTCAGGGGGCAGGAGGGGCCAGGGCCTCCCCCAGACTCGAGTACAGGAGACGGGCGCACCTCCGAAGGTCGCAGCGATGGTTGGGCACCGGGTGTTCCACCCCGCTCTCTCTGTCCACCAGCCTTGGGTGTGTTTCAGTGTCTGTCCTGAAAGCTCAGCTGTCCCTCCTGCGGCCACCAAGCAGATGGTGCAGACACAAGCAATAAGTCTCTGTGAGCATCCTGAGTGCTCTGCTCTGTTTCTTGCTGTTGGTCCTCTTGTCCTAGCTTGATGACCTGGCATTGTCCTGCCTGCTTTTAGTCTATGGCGTGGCATTGTTGGCTGTCCCTCAGCCCAGTGACTTTGGGTTGGACCACTGTGGTATCCGTCTGTCTGTCAGTAACAATGCCGTGTTCCGGTCTGCCCGTCTGCAGCACRACAGTGCCATGTGGTTCTCTTCATGTGACGTTGGTGGGTGCTGTCCCAGGTCCAGTGGTGTGCTTCTGCCTTTCCTCGGTACAGTGCCAGGCGTGTGTCTTCCTGGTGGCTCGCCTGTCCTTCACTGGCTGGTCTGCCCACTGTACAACGGCATCACCTACCTGTCAGTACACAAGTATCACAGGGTTGTCCTGCCTGCTCTCCACTCAGTGGCACGAGATTGGCCACCTATCACAGATATGATCATGTAGGGTCATTTACCACTCTGCTRTACAGGAACCCAATTCAGACCACTTCTCAGCATCCCCAGGGACTGTGGATCCTCCCGAAAGGGAACAGTCCTGTTATCTGCTGATTTAACATGGAAAAAAAGAACTCAGGTCTTCCTAGGGGTCTTCAGAGCATTCACACAGCAAGCGCATAGGTCCTGGGGCAGGACAGTGTGAGGCCACCTGGGGCAGGACAGTGTGAGGTCACCCTAAGTCAGTTGGCACATTGGAGGCAGGAAAGAGCAGCGCTTCCAAATCCTTCCCTGGGTGTGCCTCCGGGGCTGGGCCTGTTGAGGACGACTGGGGGACAGTCCTCGCCGGCATCTTTGTGTTTCTCTCATTTCCATCACGTTTCTGTCCACCATCATCACAAATGTGAAAATTCAGGGAAAACAATCAAATGCTTTTTGATAAAAGTAAATAGTTGTGATTTCCGATTCAGATATTTTTAGAGCTGATGCTATCTGTAAAAAAAAAAAATCAATACCACTAACAATAATATAGTCTATTTTACATATCAGGAGAGCAAACATGTTTAAATATAGCCATATATTGCAAGAGGGAACTCATCACCCCTTCTTTAAACCAAGGCATTTCATGTTGGTTGAAGCAGATGAGGAGTGCACAGATTGGAAAGACCCTTCCTTCCTTCCGTCCTTCCTCCCCCCCCCCTTTTTAACTAATAACCAATTGGTGCAACTCTCCTTGTAACCAAAGGCCCTTTCTGTCTTGTGTCACGCTGGACCTGGCCCCTCCTCCCTCGTGTGTGTTGTCTGACTTTAAAGTAGCATTTTATTGAGTCACTTTTGAAGGACGAATTCAGAAGTATCATTAAGAACCTACCTTTTCAGGCTGCATAGCCAGAGTCCTATATAGAGTTCTTATAGAAACAGAATCACTGGAATTCAGCATATACTATGCTTAGAGAGTACTCCATTGCAGTTTGGGTTCTCCCCTCCTTGACTCTGTGTGTGTTGTGAGAACACAGCTTCTACCCTGTGCTCAACTCAAAATAGAGGATCGTGACATTCCCCAGCCTTCCCCCCCTCTGCCAAACAAAGGACATACCCAGATTCTGCACATGCATACGCCGACCTGAACCAGTGTACCCGTGCRGCCACGCACTGGGAAATCTACCCCAGGGTCCCCCGTGGGAAGCGGAACTTGAGGGACGGCCTTGGTAGAGAAGAGGAGAGCCGTGGTTTGGGGCAGCTGAAGAGGACTGGGGCCTGCCATCGGTCGCCATGCTGAACCCACCAGACACAGGAAGCAGGTGGACCCAAACAGGCAAGACCGGCAGCTGGAGTTCAATGAAACTCACCATGAATCCAACTGAGCTGCACTTCCACCATCACCAGAAAGGGCTAGGGACCAGGCTGCTGCATGCTCTGGTCACACTGGGAGGGTCTGGCCACCTGGGGGAGAGGAGGGCCAGCCCCGGGGGAGCCGCTCATTGGCCTTCTCCTCTTGGGGCAAAAGAGAACAAGAGGTCTGTGGTGCCCCAGATGTCTCAGTGCCTTCTTTAGGAATTCTATCTTAAGCACACTTTTGAGGGGAAAGAAAAAGGAGAGAGAACACTTGTTCCCAGGAGGCCCCTTTCTCTAGAAAGATCGGGGACCAAGAGGGAAGAAGAAGAAGAAGAAGAAGAAGAAGAAGAAGGGAGAGCGACAGAATCCTGAGGAGCCCTGTCCTTCTGACCGCTCAGCCTGCCCCCACGGCGGCTGGTGACACAGCTCCTTCCTGCCGTCCCCCAGTGTCCTCCACGTCTCGGGACCCACAGCCTCGTCTCTGCCTTCCTCCTGATACGACCCGCTTTTCTAAGGGAAAACCAAACAGTGTTCTCTTCTGTAAAACCGAAATGTGCTGTTGATATCCGTGACATTGTATATTTCTGTCCTGCTCCCAGGTGACTGGGATGTCTAGTCCATGAACAAGCAGATGTTTAAAATTCACGTCTCTGAAGCCAGATCCCCAGAGCCCCCCGCTTCCTCCCTCATTTCTCTGCCGACTGGACTCAAGTACCAACCCCAGGTTTTCCAGCCTCAGTCCAAGGTGGCCGCAGCAAAAAGTCCCTCGCCTTCGGGGCGTTTAAAACGATGGTTTTTTGTAACTTCAAAGTTGGCAGAAGAAAGAAGGGGCATTCCTGAATCCCCAGAAGGACAAGAAAACTCCCAACCCCAAGTTTCCTCACCTGCCACCGCTTATGTGACTTTCATGTCACCCAGTGGGATGACCCAAACCAGCCCTGGCCACACCCAGAAATAAGAGTCAACCTCGGCGCACCTTTGCGGTTCTCCTGGCTCTAAAAGCATCTGATGTGTGACTACATCACAGAATGACCACGCATCTCAGAGTAGTCTATTTTTCTGTTCAGATAAAAAAATATATATATATATATATGTATATGTATTTTTAGCAGATTTATAATAGGGCAATTGAGTCTAATTCCTTCTTTTGCAATACAGAGTGCTATCTTAGGAGTCTCATGGTTGGATATTATCCTAGCTGATATTTTCTGATCTTTTTCATTTCCTCCCAGAGTCCTTTGGGCCTTTTTCTTTTCTTCCTGCGGATGCTGATTCTCTGGAGGTGGGAAGACTTGGGGTCTGACTTCCTGCCTGTAGGTCTTTCCGGGCACTAGGAAATGTCTGTCTCTTACCTCATTCCACCTCTGTGTTTCTCCTACTCGTTGTTCTCTAGAACCCAGGGCTCAGATGCAGGAGCGAGAGGAGGGGAGTCGGTAACATGGACCCTCAAAGTCAGCCCTGAGCTGACTCAGGGCTGAGCTCCTACCCCCCACCCTCCAGGAATCCGAAAGGTCTGTTTTATTCCTCCCCCAAAATCTTGGAACCAAAAGCCTCATGCAAGCAAACTCGTTCCTGGCTTCTCTGAGGTCCAGACCACTCCCAAGTCCATCTCGGTCAGACTGCTCCCACGCCCGGTGTCCAGCTCCCGGTACCACCAACCAGACCTGAAGACCAGAGCGTGTTCAGGTTTCTCTGAACCACAGAAAACCACGCTGGGCCCCAGATCTCCTCCACTTTGTATCAGCCCCTCGTTTCAATCCACTTCTAACTGAGAAACAGTGGTCACACACCCTTGCAGCCAAGAGACGAGAAGAGATGGCCCCCAAATCTGCTCTTTCCTCTCCCCGGGCCTTTCCTTTCCACCTGCCTGGCTGGATCAGTCTCAAGGGCAGCAGTACTTTTCCAGCTTCGGCCTATCTGGCCTGAAGAGGCCTTGCACGGTCCTGGTAACTCGTTCCACGAGGCAGTTTTCACCGCGGGTGGGCAGAGCACAGCTCACTGAGCAGGACCTTCCGCAGAAGGTGATTCTCTGCCCACGGGCTCATGCAGGACCCTGAAGAAGGCCCTCTGGTCATTCAGGCTTTATGTCCCACCTGCCTTCCTGTCTCTGGACACTGCCCAGAATAGAGATCTGAGCCAAACCAAGACCCCCAGACAGCAGTGACCCAGCCCCTAGCATGGATCCCCAGAGGAAGCCAACACAAATAGGAATCTGTGACTCTGGACTATGCTCCTATTTGGATTTTCCCACCCACCCCCCAAATCCCTGGCAATCTGGAATAAATACAAATAAGATAAAATAAAACCGACAAGATTTTTTTAACTTTTGCACCAGAACAACAAAATCACCTCTCAGTCGTGTCCTGGGTTCGGTACCCAGATGGGCAACCCCTGGCCCTGGCCGTCTTCACCGGGAGGAGGATGTGCTGTCTGTGTTTCCGTCCACCACCCCTGATATGGTCTGAGCTTGGGATTTCTCCTGAACTTTCCAAAACGGCATCTTGGAGAACTGAAATGGAAAGGGGCTCTGTGAATTGAGAGAACCCTCCTCTTCACCCGGGAGCCTAACTCTCTTCCTTCCGGCCATGTTCCTGAAAAGATCCCCAAAGGCTGGCCGGGGTGGGGGGTGGGTGGAGGTGGGACATTGACCGGAACAAGAGACCACCCAGCTGCCAGATGGCTGCAGGCGGGACTCCGCCGGGTTCTCTGGCCCGAGAGGGACAGGGCAGTAGTCAGTTCCAGCTCAAGTTAAGGAAGCCCTGCTGCTAGGCCTGTTGTCTGCTCAGACCCCAGGCCACCCTGGTCATGAGCCCCCCGCCCTGCAGGTGTTCATAGGGAGGCGAGATGCGACGTGAACTGGGTGACACAGAGGGGCCC